TATGACAATAAGGAAGGACATATGCATATGTGTGCAGCTTCCCTTTTATCTCTTCCACTTCTTTTCTGCTAGGATAGAAGAGATCTTTTTTTCCAGCAGGGAAGTGATAATTACCTGCTAAATAAACTGTGCTCTTTTAAAACCGTCTCTTCCCCGATCTGTTTTTTACATTAATGTTATTTGCTCGGAAGGCCCTGAATTTCATTTTTCTCTCCCGTTCGCAAAGCGATACAAACATAAGCGACACCAGTTCCTTTGTCTTTCAGGGGAGCACAGCCGGACTGCCGGGTCCTTTCGGCCCTCCCCCTCCCCTCGCTCCGAGCCAGCTCCCTCCTCGCTTTATCCTTCCACCAAGAACAACGTGGACTCGTGGCTTTCAGCGCTGCCTTGGATAGTTCAATACAGATAGATCCGTGTCAACTGGTATGTGGCGCGGACCAAGATCATAGCTCCCGGCTGCGGGTGCTTACGCACACACTTGCTTCCTTCCTCCTTGTTTTCCGGCAAAAAGGGTTGCTTTAAAGACCCAAATGCCTGCTTTATGCAAGATCGCAGCATGATTCTGGTGCAAACTAGGACCCCCCCTTGTTCTTCTCGATTGTCTGCCTACCTGGCGATACTTGCGAGGAGGAACCTGTAGATAGGAACCTCGGGTGTAGACCCTCAGCTGGACCCTTTTCTGCCTTACCTTCGGATCGAGTAAGTCCCTCCAGGAGCAAACCCCCCTGACTCAGGACCCTGGGATCGGTGCGCTGAAGTATCTCAGAGTATCCCAGAGTTAAGGTCGGGGCTGTGAAGTATCACAGCGGTCCAACAGAGGGCGACACACTGTCAGCTTTCCTGCAGTGGTATTTTGTGTGGTCGTAGGCGCCACTGAACCATGAACTCTGCCGCAAGAACATTTTTCCCCCCATAGAAAAACTGCAGTATTATCATGGTGCATCTTCGAACAAAATGACTTTCTGCTAGTTTAAATTTCTACCAAAAACCGGGCTAGACTCATTCCATCGACCTTTAACTTCACCAAAGTCATGGCCGAGCGATGAACCAGTCAATCGGCTGATGCGAGCCAATCCTCGATTTTTAGGGATATTGCATTTATTGTTCTACCTCGGGCAAAAAGTAGCCGAGTCCCTCTCGACCCCTTGCTATCATCTGAGGAGGCAAATGGACACTCTCATTTCAGACAAGGCTCATGCCCACGAAAATGAGTCGCACTCGGAGCGCGACACAATGCACCAACTTGCTGGGAAAAGGTTTAGATGGAAAACGGTGTGTGGCGAGAGGACCTGCCCCCCAGCCTGGAATGCAGAGCTCCTAGGTGATTAAAATAAGGAAGAGGGAAACATTATCTTCCACAAATCTTTCTCAATCCTCTTAGCTCTGCTGGGTCCTGCCCCGAGTTTGCTTTTCACAGCAGCGCACCCCTCGAGAGCAGCAAGTTGCACTGCGGACCGCTGCGGACCTCCTCTTCAGGCTATGTTGCCTTTCAAACTCTTTAATATTTTCATTACTTTAAGGCAGGGTGTTCTTTTTTTAATGGTTACTTTCCTGATGGTTTGATGAATATTTCTTGCTCCGTCTTCACATTCAAAGGAGAGTCTTTTTTTCTGTTTCCTTTGGGGTCTACACATTTTTTTTATTCAACTCGAAGGTATCAATTTCACTCTTTTTCTCCCCACCTCCCGCATATATACGTATACACACATCCATATATAATCTATATGTGTTAGCACGCATATATGTAAAGACACAGACCATTCCTATAAACGACTGTCTGGGAATATTACCAGTACTTTCCTTCGTCATTCACTATACGACTTTTACATTGGACACGCCACATTTAGGATGATTTTAAAGATTGTCTTTTCTTTATTTGTGCACTATGTCCAGTCCCCACCCCCATACACATATAATCTAGATATCTTTGCATATATACATATCTATATCTATATATAGACAGATATAGATATATATCTTTGCATATATACATATTTGCATATATATAGCTTTTCATATAAAAGCTTTTCATATAAAAGCTTTTCATGAAAAGCTATATATATATGCAAATATATATATATACAAAGATATCTATCTATATCTATCTATATATAGATATGTATATATATGTATAGATATGTATATAGATATGTATATATGTATAGATATGTGTGTATATATATATATCTTTGCACACACACACACACATATATATATATATAAAGATACAGACCACTCCTAGAAACGTTAGTCTAGGAATATTACTAGTCTTTTCCTTCCGCGTTCACTACACGCCTTTTACACTGGACAAGTCACATTTAGAAAGATTTTAAAGATTATATTTTATTTATTTGCGCGCTATGTCCAGTTTCCCCTCTCCCCGCAATCGATCATCAAAGTCCCAATCTCCCGCGGTAATTTATTGCTCCTCCTCGTACTAATTGACATATTAATATATGCTGCTCCCTAGCTAACGATTCCTTTTGGTCAAAGGAGCCAAGGTAAAAGGGTCAAGCAATGGCTGTTATCTTGCCCCGTTCTGATCTTTTCCATCTGTGAGCTTTTGCAGGAGAAATGACTGCATCTATTATACAGTACCTGCCCAATGACACTTGCTGCTTATGCAGTGGCCTTGTTAAAGGAGCAGGAGCCGGGAGGTGAGGGAGACATACGTGCCCGGAAACCCGCGGGGTTCCCGGGGAAGGGCAGTCCCGATCTCCCGGACAATGTAACAATCATTGTCAGAGCCGTGTGGCAACAACTGTGCCCGCCTCTTGCTTTGGTGCGGGACAATCAAACCCGGCATAAACCCGACGTCTGTTTGCAGCCCCCGTGATATTGACCAGACGGTGTCTTTCCTTTTGGTCCACCGTACAGGCAATCAAATTAGGATGTGTTGGCCTCCGAAGCTACTGAGTGATCTTGAGAACTAGTCTCTGGATGATTCCTAGATTCGGATTTTGGTTGTAAACCATTCCCAGCGGGGCCAGCACAGAGCGGCCATAGCCAAAGAAAGAAAGAAAGAGGGTAAAAGCAGAGATGATTTTTTCTTGCTGCTGTTGTCTGAGATTTCAGTGTGGTATTAAAGGCAACGCATCCTGCGGAACACGAAACTTTTACAGGCTAGATCAGGAAACGGGACAATTTTCATCTGTCTTTTAGGAAAAACACCCTAGCGGGTCCTTCTCCCCGCAGCCCCAAGCCGTAAGCGGAGGGCGGTAGGGTTATTTTGTTGAAAGCAAATGTCATGAACCCGGGGGGTTTCATCACACTGCGCCGTTGGCAGTGGTACTTGAGTTCAAAAGCCGCCGGGCTTTCTGACGCTTTCGGCCAAGCCACGAGCTCGAGATCTCCAGAGAATGGGCTTGAATTGCAGGGGACAGCTTGCTAGGGGCGACCGCCTAGACAGGCGAGGGGTCAGCTAACCCTCCTCCTGCCGAAGGTCTGTTTCCAAGGACCAGCCCCACTCGCAGCGCTCTGCAAACGCCCATGCAAAGCTCCTGGGCGCGGGGACAGGTGACATCGCAGTGGCCGGGGCTGCGGCCCCGATCCTGGGGGCCGGGGAGAGCGAGGTGGGATGGGTCAGCGACACCTGGTTTTGATTTCAAAGGCATCCACCGCA